CTAGACTTTGAAAGAAGTATCTGCATATAGCACACAAATGTCACAAAGGCTGTATCTAAACATCACATGGACAAAGCCGTCCCAATATCGAAAAACATTTTTAAAAGGTTTGCTTTTGGATATAAAGCATTCCTCAAATCAAGAAGTTGGCTGAAATGAAGTACTGGCATGAAGCTAGTGGGAAGACAAGGCAACTTCAGAAAAGCTCTCCTACAACAGTCAAGGAAGTAGCTGCCTGCAATGAGATTGTCGGAAGGACTGAGAACTCCAGTGCTTTTTGGTAGCAGAAAGCAGCTACTGCAGTGACTGGAGGAAGGGTGGCCTTTGCTCCTCTCATCCTCCCATTTGCAAATCTACAGTTTGCCTTTGACTTCCAACTTTGCACCCTTCCACCTATGCACTAAGAGGCTGTTACAGCAATGATTTTCCCTTTGTTGCTGTCATAGGTTGTTTCACGCCCTTGCAGCTCAAAAATCCTGAGACAGTTCAGACCTAATGAAAACTATATAGCTGTTATGGAAAAAGAGTTATAGGGGAAAATATGCTGTACTGGAAAGGATCTTCATCTGCGAAACACCCTGTTGCTTCTCTTCCTGTCTAGCCACTGGATACAGTTTTACCTTTGTCTCCTTTGTTTTTTTACAAAGAGAAAAATCTTATGTTTAGAGTCAATGTATCCAGCTATGGATGCTCCAGATAAAGTTCTGTGCATATAAGGCCGTCTCAACATTCTTGGACACCACTTTCCAGGTCATAGTTGACCAGGTCTCTGACCACTTCACGCAAGCTATTCCTTAACAGGACTTAAGTATTTTGGAGACTACCTAGTATTTACCATGTACTCAAAAATGCATTTCACTGCAGGTTCAATACTCCTTTTATTACCTCTTCCCTGTCAGGCTCAATGGCACAGAACAAGGGCTATTTGTACAAGCCATATAATAGAAATGGTTTTGGGTTTCGGTTATATCAGCTAAGTGAAATGCAGTATGAAAAAGCAAAGTGCCTTCAAGTAGTTAAATTCAGCTTTCTCCTTTCCAGTATTTCATGAGTAGTGTGTCCTGTGGAATCATAATCTTTTTCACCTATTTTGAAGTTTACATTCTCAACTTTAAAACATTTCTTGACTGCTGAAAAAACTGCTGGGCTTAAGTATATTACTTAAAGCTTTTAATTTGTGTTAATTTTCCTGCGTGAAGTTGTGATAATGATTGCCTCAAAAGCAGACACAAAAGCAAGACAGATGTGTTAAACATACGGTTATCAAGGGAGCTATTTACACAGCAATAATTATCATGTGAGCTTAGAATTTTAGTTCCACATCCATTTTTGTTTTGATTCATTGGTTCTGATGACAGATTTGGGTATGAATTATCATTCGATTAAGCGTCTACAAAGTTTTCAAATAACAGTTGTACTCAAATATCATTAATAACATCAAAGAATTTGCTATATCACTAACCAGTTTCTCCAAAAAGGAAATAAATTTATGGAGCTATCTATATGATGGTGTCTATTCTGTACACTTGTTTAAGCCTGCACAAATTGATACTTTTATTATTAGAACATTTAGAAATCTAATTGCAATAGAGAATTCCCATTTTTAAGTGTAGAAACATGCCATAAGAACTCTACATTCATATATGCATAATGGCCTTTTTAGTGCACAACGTTAATGTCACCTAGTTCTTTGCAAAACGCATGCCAGCCTTTCTCCAGCTCAAGCCAAGGACTGCCAGGCTGTCATAGCAGACTCCCATAATGGCTTCTAATCCTCCAGTCTTGGGCTTATATATGCACCTCCATTTCCAAAGTCACTACTTTCACTTAATGAATGTAATTACAGTTTCAAAGACTCACACGTCCACCTTACAATTCATCAGCCTACATGCGACTAGTCCAAATAAGTATTCTGTGAGAAGCTGATGGTTTGAATCTCCAAATATTCACAGGTATTTCTGCTGAAAGAACTTATTCTGAGAAGCACTGTTGCTCGCTCTTGCATCAGGATGAATCTAAACATTTCTATACATAATTCTGCATGCTTTATTTTAATAAGCAACCACACAGGATTACAGGATTACAGCTTCTCTCATCTAACTCTATGGAAATTTGCGGAAAATGAATGGAAAAAATAAAACAAAAGATTGCAGGGCTTTAATTCAAGAAAACTGCTGCTCTGCATCTCCTGTGGTAATTTGGAAGCATCATGCTCCCGTTCTCTTCTATAGGCCAATAACCAAGGGAATGGGGAAACAGAACAATCAAATTGCATCTCATGTGAAACATCACACCAGCGACACATTTCAGTATGGCCTGAAAACTGCAATCTCTACGGATCATTTACTTTCTCTTTTCATCAGCTCTTTTCAGTATACTGTTGGTTGAATTAAACCCTGAAAATACGTTGAAAAACAGTAATACGGTTTCATGTATCCCTGCATCAATGCAAATCTGTAGTGGAAAGGCTGTGAAAGGATTTACTAAGTAAACATACAGTTCTGGTATTGGTGAATATATAGCAATTAAATAGCAGTCAATGAAAGATTTGACAGCAAATTTATCATTAATAATTGCTCCTTTTTTATGGAACACTCTTCCTTTATATATATAATGTAGAGACCTTGAAACAATTTGGTATTTGGTAGCATCATAATTCTTTTTTGTTATTGTTGAATGAGGGTTTTTTGTGGTTGTTTTCAGCAGTTGTTTTTGTTGTGGTTTGGGTTTTTTTTTTGTAAAAAGATTCAGTGATTTTAATGAAATACACAGTGAAACTAATGTATTCAGCTGATTCTTTTATAGTGATAGAAATACTCTCAGGTTGAGTAAATGCAATATAATCTCATTTTAAACTAGTAGCAAAACAGCAAAGACTGTTGGAGTGGTTTTAATTTAAGTACAGTTTTGTACTCTGTGGACTATTGTCACAGAAAGTAAACATACCTGTCACTAGAACTAGATAAATATTTTTCTCTTCAGAAGAATGATGCTGCGTAGAAATTTCTTCACTAAATGAACTGAAGTTTTATGACATTGAAAGCTGTTTGTACTTAAGTCATTTGCTAGTCATTTGTAAGGATTTTGTTTCAATAAATCTTAACTGTTACATTTAACTGGAATATAAACTGGAATATAAATTGAATTAATACCTTTTTTTTAGTCACATTTCTTACTTTAAAAAAACCCAAACCAAACCAAAACAAAACAGAACCAGATAAACCCAAATCTCCATGGAAAAAAGCTAATTTTTGTTCCCTGAAACAAATCAAAAGAATATCTTTGGGAGGAGTTAGTAATTTTCATAAACAATCTACATAGAAGCTAAAATTAATTTAGAAATCTTCACTAAGAGAACAGAAATATTTTTCATTTTACTATGATGTGTTATCATTTAAGAGAAAAATGGCAAAATACCAACTAAATGGAATCTTACTCTAACTACATGTCCTAGTTTTAGCTGGGACAGAGGTTTTTTTTAACAGCTAGAAGAGCTCCGTGTTTTGGGTTTACTCAGAGGCTCACTCTGAGAAGAACGCTGATAACAAGCTGCCAAGGACTTCTCAGTGTGCCGGAGTGCAGAAGCACGGCAGGATAAGGGGGGAGCATAGCTGGGACAAGGGGGACACGATTCCCCTTGTGATTTGTGTGGAACTTAAGACTGAGGGCCAAACTGGCCAATTAGTATTCCATATTTCTTCTCTTCATGCCCAGTATAAAAGCGAGGGTCAGCCGGGAAGAGGGGCTTTTTGCTCTTTTGCACTTTTGCTCTTTGCGTTTGCTGTGCTGTTGCTCTGCTGGTTTTTTCCTTTCTGCAGCGTCATGCCCAGTATAAAAGCGAGGGTCAGCCGGGAAGAGGGGCTTTTTGCTCTTTTGCACTTTTGCTCTTTGCGTTTGCTGTGCTGTTGCTCTGCTGTTTTTTTCCTTTCTTTTCTCTCTCTCTCTCTCTGCCCCTCTCTGTTTCAGGGCCTTGCGTTCGTCCGGGATTGCAGCTTCGGGACGAGACGGGCTTCGCATGCGAGGGGGTGGTGAGCATCTATACTGTGTATTGGATCATCTGTATTAAAATCATTCTTATCTCAACCCACGGGTTTCCCGTTTATCCTTTAATTCTCTCCCTCATTCCTGGGGGTGGGGGAGGGGGGAGTGACCGGCTGTGCGTGGGAGGAAGTTTTCAACCTAACCCACAAACAATAGCTAGTAAGGTAGGAAAGTGAACGTACACTGTTTGTGTGAATAAGGACCATCCGAGAAAATATTTGCCCAGAACTGATCAAGATCATGACTGTCATCAGCTAAGTTAAACAGCAGCTGATGAATTTAAGACTACTTTCATACAAAGAAGTCAGCTTGAAAAGAAGTATGAAAGTAAGATGAAAATTTGTTATAGTAGGAAGAGATTACAGAGTGGAAACAGCAGCAGCCCAAACCTGTTTTTGACATGCCAGGTGTCATCTTGTTGGTGCCACAATCACTGCGTAGGCCCGACAGAGCATTGTCCCCACTGGATGCTGCAAAATAGCCTGCATCCAGCTGGTGGGCTGAGTTTGGGGTGCTACAAGGAGGGTTAATTTCTCATGGTATAAGTATTAACATATTGTAGGCAGCAGCATGTGTACATATAAAGCTGGAGCAGTCATGTCTCCAAACTTGCTTTCCAATAAAAGGGAACCACATGTACCCCACGTATCCTCTGGGAGAGGGAGTGCATGTGTGTTTCTCTGAATGGGGAGGTACTGAAACTTCTGGGAATTACTTATAGAAGGATATTTAAAAATTTGTACCTATTTATTAACATTTTATATTTTGATTCATTTGTTGTATTGATGTTATTGATCCTGCATATCTACTTCACTGACTCTCAGTTGATTACATGCCATTAATAAATCAGAAAACTGCTTCAATACTCTGAACTGAGCAGTTTTTCCCCTTGACAATCCACACATGGCTAAATTCACACAGTTCAAGAAAGATTCAAGTATCTGAAAAATTGTACTCACATAGTATGATCAATTAATGGGCAGTGGTTTTCTTGTCCAGGGTAGAGATTTGCCCCTCTTCCAAGTTCCCACTTGAATATGTTTGTAGTATGGATGGAATCATTTCCTGACATCTTTTCCAAGGCTGGTTGATACCATCCACACTGATTTTGATCTTCAAAGTCACAGACTTCCGTAACTTTAGAGATAAACAGTGAGTAGTTCATGTTTATATAAAAATTTGAAATCATTAATTGATGTTATGATAAAGTAAACAACATAGCAATAAAAAGGATTCAATTTATAGTGTCTATTAATACTTACACAGTACTAACATGCATAGTTTTTCCTCTATAAATAAAATATCAATTATTTTTTTTTTCTATTAGGCAGATTCTAATTTTAGGAATGTACCGATTCTTTTGCACCTCAGTATCTACCTTCATATGTGTTTTGACCAGCTTTCAGGCCATTCTAATAATCTGTCATGCGATATACAGTGAAATGCATGTAAAATTCATCAGCTTCAAATCTGCCAGCTACTGCATGGTTTTATTTTCAGTTCTATAGACTGGTGACATTAGCAACTCATTGAACATTGTGTACAAAGTCCATGACCAAAACTCCAACAAAACAAATCAATATTTCAAGCAGTCCCCACAATACTTAAAAGCCACATAATAATCCAGCTATTTTGTACAGGTGTCAAATATTGAATTCTTACCTTGTTAAATAAATATGCAGCTGCCTGTGCCTCAGTTTTTGATTCCTGAGCAACCAGACAAGAAAAGTGAGCTCACTACCATCCCTCCCTCACAATTTATCTCCCTGCAAGAATATATACGGGAAAGAAACCCACTTATTTTCCATTATTTCTACTCTGCATATTTATTCTCCAGTACATCTTCCTGAATGTTTTGTAGAAAGTTTGTCTAGGTGATCCAAGGTGAGTCTTGTCACTCTCCAGAACTTTGAAACAGATTATTATACTTAAGTCTAAGCAACTGCTGTGAGAATTGTGCAGGGAAACCAGAATTTATTTTAACCCATGGAGCTCAAATGTTAGTATAGCTGAAGTAACTTCTACATCAAGAAATCATAGTGAGTTAGGAGAATGTACCTGATGCTTTCTTCCTTGGAGGTTAAAAATGGTAGACTACGGAGCGAGTGAGTTTTGATTTATAGCTTGTATATCTCCAGTAAGGAAGCAAACCACAGGCGGTGTGATCTCATGAATTACCCATATAAAAATTTGTGATGTTTCCTGAGAATGATGAGTGGCATAGTATTAAGAGTTTATTCCTCTTTCTTAACATGTTTTATGAACATTATGTTTCAAATGCCTCTGAGAAAGACAACATCTTCCTGAGAACATATTTCTGCCCTCAGTCAGGACATACTTAACTCCTATTCCAGCACTGTCAGTCTAGTGACAAATTGCCATCACTGCTGTAGTGATGGGAAACTTCAGACAGCAAATATGTAAAGGTGTATTCTCCATGGTATTTATCTCTCTCAGAATGAAAGCATGTTTTGTAAAATAATCTAGATTTCTGAGGGGGGGAAAAAAAGTTCTATCCAAAAGGGCTCTGCATGTATTTTTCAGGGCAGAATTTCAATGTTGGCGTTTTTTCATACTATAGGAAATTCTCCAGTGATGTATGTATTTTTCAGGGCAGAATTTCAATGGTTGGCGCTTTTTCATACTATAGGAAATTCTCCAGTGATGTTTATATATTGGATTCATTTCTTTCAGAGTTATTCCCACATAAGAAATAGACAGAGGGAGTCTAATGTTACTTTTTCTTACTGAGCCCTCAGCCCTGGGAGAGATGATTGAGTTCCCTACAAAGTATAATGAATGCAGAGTTTTGATATTCAGCGAGAATAATTTAGCTTGCAAAGGCTGATGAGGTCACTGTCTCTCGATGTCTGGCCCTCTCATTAATCAGCGTCGGTAGAGCAGTATTTCCAAGTTATGCTTTAAGGCAGGGACGTGAGGAAATAGACTCCACAACTCGGAAAGTTGTACAGTAGGTATGTTTGTTACGCGTAAGTGCACGGGGGATCGCTCCACCACAAACGTGCACACCGTATGGCAAAACGAGAACCAATTTATAATGCAAAGGCATACATGACTCACCACCGGATCATAGAATGGTCGTTAACAGTTCCCATTATCTTATCTGCTCTTCTAAGGTCGTTACAGACAATAGGGTTCCAGTAACAGTTCCTGTTACCTTCATGGCTTTAGATGGCCTTAGATGGCTACTTATCGATAGGATTCTTGCTCCTGACAGAGCTTCAGTATTTTGCTAAACTATTTGCTGTGTTGCAATGCCTGACTAAGTGTCATTTTCCATATCAGTAGAACAGAGGCGTTGACAATTTATTCTAAAATGCTATAGTGTGAACTGCTGTAACTCAGAAGCAATCAACAAATGTCTTAGACCTCTGTGGACTACTTGTGGGGACCCTGTCCGTTGTCCCAGTTCCAATGTTCCCATCTGACTACCAGAGCTTTAGGAATTTACAGGCAGGAACTCATTTCCTGTGTGGAGTAGGCTGAATTTCAAAATCCTCGTTGCTGATGAAAATACTTTGTGAACAAACAAACAAACAAACCCCGTATTCTTTCAAGTGGGTAAGAAGTGGACCCAAGTGTCCTAGATGGGCACCCCAAACATGAGACTGTAAAGTTATTCTCTCTTCCAGTATGGACTAGTAAACATTCAAAAAATTTAAATATGTCATAGGCCATTTAATTTGAGAAACTATGCTCATTTAAAAAAATTGTCATGTATAGCTACCGATCACTGGGAAACTGAGGATTCCCCCGGCTCCATATCAGTAGCAAATTGAACTGGAATGTCAAGTCTGAATCAGCCCATTCGAAGGCAGAAAGCGCATAACAACTCAGATTCCTAGATTAGGAGCAAAATGTTATTTTTTCCAGGGAAAATCACATTAAAAATAGCATCTACCAAATTGCAAAGGTAAACACAGAGTAGTTAAATGTGTTTAACAGCCACAGACTAATAAGGTAGCAAAGTACAAGATTTAGTAGACTCACCACAAGCTGACTCATCAGACTTATCAGAGCAGTCAGGTCTAAAATCACATTTCTGGATCATCTGGATGCAATGGCCAGAGGGTCTACAGACAAATTCCTTCTCTGTGCAGTTGTTCATGGGGAGCGTGGCAGGAACTGAAGTTCCTGAAGGAGTTGTAGAGATTGTTGGCAAGATTCCTTTGAAGAACAAACCAACAAAATGCTGAGTGATGAGACCAAGGAATTCTAGTTTTGTAATGATTTCTCCCTTTGCTACTCCCACCCTTTGTCAAGGGTATAGCTTTACTGGAAACAAGCCTGGATGGCCAAGTTGCATGACTTAAATGCTGCCCAGCAGGAACTGGATTGAACACTTCCTGAGTGGAAAGCACTAGGTTGATCATGCTAAGGAATCACCTTCCATAAGATCCTTGACACTTGCAGGAATTTATTTACATCTTTAATTTGTCTTTCAAATTCAGATCAAGTCATTTCAAAACACTAATGCCATGGAGACTGGCAGAACAATCACAAAGACTTGATTTCTCTGTGAACGAAGGCTAACAGATTACTGCAATGATAATGGCTTTTTTTTTTCACATGTGGGTTACTGCAAGTGACTGTGGAAATCGCTATGTAACCTTTCTTTGTAATGTCATCACTGAAAAAATATTTTTTCTTATTAGAAAAATTATTCTGAGGTCATCATCTTGTTCCACCACTTCCTTTGTATTTCATTCAAACTCATTACCACTTCTTTCAAATCAATTGTCTTTCCCTTTCCTCCTATTCTTTACTATGCACTTTTATTCAGGCTGATTCTCATTTCTTGAAAACCTTTGCTATTACTGTCCAGAAAAGGAATTTTCATTATGTAACTCATTCTCTAAATTTAATTGTTAATAAAATTATTAGCTGTAGTGCACAATGCACATGAGCAATACACCTGAGTTAATTTAAAAGTACCTGTGAAGACTTTTTATATAAAATGGGTCTGGGACAGCAAGGAATTATTTTTATTTTCCCTGAGGCCTGGAGCACTAAGACTGATAATAAATTCTGCACAAGCAGGAGCCATTTTTATTTTGTAAGGTAGAAAGCACATCTATGACATCAAATGAATTATACTCCAATCAAATGAATGATACTCCCATAATATCCTAAGACTTAAACAAAAAAACTTAGGGGAAGGAACCTTTTGAAGGAATAATTGCATGATATCATAAGTGCATCTACAACTTGTAATAATAGCAAGGACCTTATTGGTCAGCCATTTTTAAATATAAATGCCACGTTCAAGTGTCTGCTCCTGATCCACTGGAATAAGAGAATTATTTTCAAGTACCATAATCTTCATGACATTTAAAAGAAATGAGAATATGCTCCTTTCTCTCTTTTGAAATAATTCATTTTCTATAATTTATGAAATACCATTTTGTCCAGAGCAAGCATCACTGAATAGCCTTTGGTTAGGACATTCAAATGATGCATCAAAGCAGTATGCTCAAGTTTCAACATCTTTAATATTTAATATTACTTATGAGGGACTTTACCACCAAGCTATCAAGCCCATCATCTCTCTCTGGTTATCTCTATTTGGTTATTTGAAGCAGAGAAAGAGCAACTGGGCAGCTTATGCTTAATTCTAGGGTGCAGAGACATGGGAGCCTCACTTGTTTCCCCTGATCCAACTTGCATTAAATATGGTGGAATATACCATAGCTATTGACTATTTTGCAGACTATTGCCATAGTCTCTAACTCTATTTTGGTCAGGATTTTTTTTTGATGGTGTGGAGGAAGTAAAATGGATGCAGGGCCCTGGAGTGTCTCAAAAATTGCTCTCAATACTAAAAGCATTTTAAAAACATACAGAACACAAAAACTGTTTCTTATTCAGCTCTACCATTATACTTAAGTATTTTTGTTTTATCTTTCCACACAAAATGAACATTTTAAAAATAATTTATGAACTTTGAAACTCTGACCCTCTGTACTTTCTGACTTTCTTCTTGTTTATTTTTAAAACTTTTTTCATATCTCATTTGAAAACATGTAGGGATTTTCTATTAAGTGTTTTAAGGTTTTCTTCCTCGAGTATCAGTCATTATACATTAACTGAGTATTTACAAAAACCTTTATATTCAGAATGTTATAATAAATGTTCTACACTATATAATCTTGGTAAAATGTGAGATAATTATGTGCAGAAGAAGCATGCCATATACACTTGATATTCCTAGTAGACCTAATTATATCTACAAGAAATTTTTGGAGTAGCAGGATAAAATGCATCTGAACTAGGGTGTTTTAGAATTAGTGCTAGGATACTAATATTCACACACTGTTCTAAATTGCTTGGTGTTCTACAACACTATTATGACTATACATCAACTATCACACCATATATAACACTATAGTGACTGCTGCAGCTAACACTAGTACTCTTAAAATCCTGCCTGTGATGAAGTGATAGGACTGTAATATGGTGTCTTGAAGTATATATATTCTGGGATATAACATTTTATGATTCTGTAGATGTTGTACTATGCTAGTTAGCAACAACTTCTGAGGAGAGGCTGCTCTATCATCTGAACTGTGTGTGCTGTAACATGAGAGCAATTGGTACAGCAAAATTAAGAATTATTGGGGGGAGGTGGAAGGCTGTATCAAACTGAATTTGCTGAATGAAGGGTCAGTTTATTTTTCCTTCTAGGAATCAAGATCTCAAAGAGTTTGGAAGCTGCAGACTTCTTACTGAGGGTCTGTTTTGGACCTTATGTGCACAGTAGAAGCTATACTGTGCTGATGCCTGGATACGAGGGTCCAAGAAGCAGGGAAAAAAGTCTATATTTCCTTGTCAGACGTGAGTCACAGTTTGATCTTTTTTTTGCTTTTCCAGTAGCTATAGTTACAAATGACAGCAAAGAATAAGCTCACAGCTAGGACATGTACACTTTAACTCTGTTCTTACCACTGTAAAGAGTACAGCCTAGAAAAGACATGTCATCAAGTCCAATGTCTCCAGTGAAACCATCTCCTATGGTTCCTTTCACCAAGATCTGGGGAAACAAGAATTACAAAAGCATTTTTCAGTGTATAGTAGACTTCCACTTCTCATTAAATATTTAATGTAATCGATAGAGAAGTCATTTAAGATGTTTCACACTTAAAATGAGATTAATATTTTTCTAGGGGATATATTCTATTTAGTGACACTTTACGAAAGAGACTAATTAGCATCAGCTTTCACTGGTGGTCACATTAATCACAGTAATCTCCATAATAGAATGGCTGGCTTCACAGTTGTGTAAATCCACTGAAACATCATTGTGACATAAAAAGATGGCAAGACATTATCATAAGTGGCATATTACGCTTAGCCCCTTTGGTACTTGTTGTAATAACATTAATCATGATTAATTATAATAACATTCATGTGAATAAATGATATACCCTTATACAAAACCCACTGATGAAAACAATTAAGCAGGTTTGAGATGTGCTATGGAAACTTTAAAAAAAATATATTGACTATTTCATTATAATTGCCAGTGCTGTATATTCTTACTTTCTCATTATTGGCTACTGCCAAGGAACAGGAGAGGTTAGTATTTGTGAAATACTCTCTGGGTGACTGAATAAGCCTCTTTTCTCACTATTGCTGAATAGCAAAAATCCAAGTCAGTGATTAGGGAAAGATTTAGTAAGAATTTTCTGAGTTAAATTAAGTTATAAATCCCTATTCACAAAAAGTAAAAAAAAAAAAATAAAGCCTCATCAAACCATACATTTTAAGAAAAGACCAATAAATGTTTTTGCTGATCCAATGGAGCTCAAATGTTACGGTATTTTTTTTGCCATTTTTATTTAAATGCTTATGTTACATTTTACACACACACACACATTCAAGCTTCCAGATTATTCTCGAATGCTGCATAAAATTTCAAATAAATGTTTCACCATTTGTTCCTCAGTTCAACACACAATTCCTACAAAGGAATGGAGTATAAATAGTGGCAAAAATACTGCGATACTACTTCATGGTACCGTTAGCTCTAGTATTTTTGTTGTAATTTACTTATTTGCAAGGAAAACTTATTTTCAATAAGTAAAGAAGCACTGCTCTGAACTCAAAGATACAAGACACTTGTATGTAGATAAGTGTCCCAGTTCTTTTGATCGAATATCATTGGTATTTTAGAAACAGCCTCAAAAATCAAATGTCGTTTCAAAAATATATGCTTGCATTTCACACGTCAGTATTTCTTTTGTCCCATAATAAATGAAGTCTTGTAAAGAATTTCCAGTTTCACAAATCAGTCCTGTGTATTAAACAACCTTGACAGTAACTTGAGGGAAATAAGAGAATTCATCTACACACTAAGAACTGTTGTTCACCTTGTACATACGCAGAGCTTTTATAAATCACACTTTAAATTTATTAACATGTAACAGAAGGAAAAAATATTTAAAAGGTGCAAGAAATGGCCTTAACACTGTAAAAGTAAGAGAATAATACCAGTCTTCATATGTTAAACATTGACAAACTTGTTTCTGCTATTCTGAAGTTGCATGTAAATAGCAGATTTATTAGTGATGCTGACATCACCAGAGCAAATAAAAATGACTGTGCTTCATTTATAGATTATGTCCATTAGACAAAATAAACAAGTGTGCTTACTATGGATATTCTGAAGATGGGTTATTTTAGCATAAAATGTATCTAATGTGAATGACAATAGTAAATGACAGCATTGCTTCTTACTGCTCTCATTTCAGTATGGGATTTTTATTTTTTTCTCAGAATATCCACAAATATTCTTTACAATATTACCTGCCTTTTGTTTCCTGTTTAGTTTAAAATGTGGGCAATGCTACAGTATTGGTACCAACAGTATAAAAATGCTTAGAAACCGGACATATCAAGACATCTATTATTTAGTGATGCCATGCAATAAAATGTATTATTCCAAAATGACAAAATTCCTTTCAGTGTAATTTTGACTGGCAAATACACAACCATTTAAATAAAATTTTGACTTTGTTTTCAAAGTATGAATGATTTACTACTCATAATTATTTACTCATAAATAAGCTAAAATTCAAAGAGGCAGAGGGTTTGTTAACTCAGCTTTCACAGTTGTTACTAAGACAAACTCAAGCCCCCTGAAAACGACATTATTTTTCCATGAGATTGTGTTGTGCTCTGACAGGTGTTAACCAATAGGTCAAGGGACTTCTCTCCCTATAGCTCTCTGTGCCCATCTACCCAGACACAACATTCACACCATCTGAGGCCATCCTTATCTATCATCTTTCACCAACATTTCCCTGGAGGAGGTTGCACTCCTGCACCTTAAGAAGGAATACTTTTATTAAGGTCATAAAAATATTAACAGATATAAGTGGCAGGACACAGTCCTGAAGGAGTAATTCCATTCAAAATACCTCTTTATTGTTATGATGATGATTATGATTGTGCTACTTAAACTCTCCTCAACCAAATTATTTTTTTGTTTATCTATGTATTTACTCGGGGAGTCTGACACTTTGGCATATAACATGAACTCAGTAAGTAACCCAGAAAATGTAACAGATGTGTGGGAATAGACTTAAAACTGAAAATAGGACGAATTTTTGAGTCAGTACTGCATTATAAAACTTAGTCTCTCTGCAGCTGTGGTTAAACATTGACCATTTAAATTAATTTACCAGCTGAAATTCTGCAAACTTCATAAGCTATTATTAAACTACCTCCAGGGAACTCATCTACCATGAAGCTCATTTCACATCTCATTTATTATTTGAATGAGGATAAATAGTACCAAATTTCTCCAATTTTCAGAACTCTAGAGATCCAGTCTCAATTAAATCTATAAAGGTAGCAAAAGGTATACTACATAAAAGAGGAAGAAAAAATCTAAATGAATAGTAAAATGTATTAGAATGACACTCTGTATACAAAAAGGGATTGATCCCTTAAGATTTTGAACAAAATAGGTTTTCAAAAGGTGGAGGAACATTATGACAAGTGTTAATAGAGGAATTATAATGAGTAATACTGTTCTGTACAAATGTTCCATTTTACAGTAATGTTCATTTCTGTCACTAGTCAATTCCCACTAAAGGTTAGTAAAATAAAATCTTAATTTCCATACAAGTATAGTTTAACTTAGAACGGAAATAATTCAAAAAACTGTGAGGCATTCAAAATTCTGAAGATTTTGGAATGTTTAGGAAATAGTGATGTTAGTTCTAATGTGTTTACCTAGCAATATAGCCAACAATATTTCAGGTTTCTCACAGGCAGTGTTAACTGTGTTACTTGGTGATTTTATTAGTATTTAGAGCATGCTAATTTTGACTAGGTTTGCTATGATATTTCTGGCAAGAAACTGTGTGATTTGGTTTGAAAAGGAAAGAACAATCACACAAGTGAATAATGGTACAAATAATTGACAGAACACTTTGTCATTAAAAACGTTTGTCATAACTTACTGAAAGCAAATGCAAGATTGAAAGTCATATGCATTTCACTGCATATCTCCAGAGAAAACTTATCCTATGTTTTAATGCTAAATATAAATAAAGGGAAATGTCTAATAACTTTTCATATATAGAAGTAACCTATTTCTTAGGAGCTGATGAAATTTTGTACTATAGATAAAGGACAAGTGATAGAACCACAAATTATGTGAAATCTGTATCAAAATTTCTTGCTTCAAAACTCCTTTTCGTCAAGATACCGTCATCCAACAACCATGTCACAATAAGTCTTCACTGTAGGACTATTTTTTCAATAACACATGAACATATTCCTAAAATGCTGTCTCAAGAAGTATATAAAATGGGGAACTATTTACTAAGCAAACACTTTTTTTTTTCATAAAAAAAATGTGATTTAAAGTAAAATCTGAGAAATTTAGATTTAATTTTGACTTCTTGAGTTATCAGTTCATGTCAAATAAGAATTACTGGCTTCTTTGATGAGTCCAAACATGGTAATTTATTCCTCCTTGGTTTTGTTTCTCTGCTTCCTCAGCTCCCATCAAAGGAGTAGGCACTGTGGGACCCGAGATCATTTCCTAAATCTCTTGTCTAGCTGTCCAATAGTTGCATCCTGACTACGTGGGGCTGGACTTTCCTTTGTACCTTCTGAACCATGTTTTTTCTTGGAAAAAAACCTGGGTGCACTGGCAGAAGGAGTGCCACAGCATGTTCCTGCTTGCCCCTCAAGGAGGGAATGACTAGACAATCAAGGCTGCTACACACAGCGTGAAGCCCTTCTGCCCCTAAAAGCAAGTGCAACCGAGGGCAGCCCGTCAGCTGCTGGAACGATTATCAACATTAGGTCAACACAACATTTTAACGATACACATAGAAAATGTCAAGATTACACTGCCCATCTTCAAAGCCTATCAGCTTTTGTGTCCATTAAAAACGCATTAGAAGTTAATGTCTCAAGATTCCACGAGTTGAAATAAAGTCCTTTCACGCAAGTGTCCAAATGAATTCTTACCAATGATCTTAAGGATATACATATCAAATATGAAAAATCATGTGTTAAATATTTCATGTTTTACAGAGCTTGGTTTTACAAGACACTGAAAAACGCTAGTTCTGGTTCAGTAAAACACTTTATCACACTTCACTATAAGCTTGGGAACCCTCATGCTGATTTATGATGTTTTTCCAAGCATTTCTTCAAAGCGCACGGGAGAATCACATTTCTATCCTGTTTCAGACTCTTCACTGATGCTGGTGGGACTGCTGACAAGCATAACATTAATAACTGTTTACATATTCTGGGAGTCAGTGCTTTGCTGTATTAAGGTCACAAAACTTCACTCCAGAGAAAAGACCTCGTTTTCACTCTGCAGTATTAATGCTGGTAGCATTATCGCAGAAGTCCTCTATAGTCAGTTCCTAAAAATTTCTGAGATTCTAGCTTTATAAAACAACACGGTTAACCTGTCCACTCGGGAAACATCTATCTAGTAATTATAATGACAAAGCTATTTAATCCAACGTAAAGTCATGGTTAGTTTTTACTTCGCCT